TGCCTGGTTGGTCGACTGTGGTGCGGTTGGTGTTTGTATGATCGATAGGCGACACGTGTGCTGACCGCACCCCGTGCCCACCGCCGCTGGTGCCGGGTTAGGTGGGGTGTGTCACTGTGTTTAGAGACTTAGCAATGCTCGGTTGTTTCTGATATGCCAGCTTTGTTGTTTCAATGACAGGCGCACTGAGCCGCTGACAGAGCTTTTTTATGGCCTCTGATAAGGCGAGGACAGCAAATTATGGTCTTAGTTTTATTGCTGTCTTGAGCTTAGTGGGTTGTGAAAAGGGTACTTGAGCTGTCATGATGTTTTCGCTTCGGCATGTGATGCTGTCCATGTTGGTGTATGCTCTTGTAATGTTGTCTTTCACGAGTAAAACGGGAATGGACAAGTGTATCAATGTCTGTTGACATCGGGAATAATGGCACAAAGTCGACTGCCGTAGCATCCCACCCTTTTTCGCCTTGTTGCATTTTATCCTCTGTATCAACTTGTTTGAAAGTCTAATTTCATGCATAAAATGCCAAATGTGATTCTCGCTAAGCTACAATATTATTGTGCTACAAGATACGTTGCTTGGAAAAATACGTATGATTTCGTCAATGGCAGCTTTTTTGTCGTTTTTTTTTGCACTGACGATTAGCGGCCGTTTTCTCTACCGCTTCTGTCATGCGCTGCTCTCATGTTCACCATTCCCTCCGCGTGTTTTTTACGTGCCACACGCCGACGTTTGTCCCTCCATCAGGTGATTGCCGCCACGAATCGTGTGGACATTCTGGATCCGGCGCTGCTGCGGTCCGGCCGACTCGACAGGAAAATCGAGTTCCCGCACCCGAACGAACAGGCCCGGGCCAGGTGAGGATGGTGTTGGGGTCGGGCTGATGGTATCGGCCCCCGCCGAAGTTAGTTGGTAGCACTGCTGCTCCACGGCGTACGTACATTTCCTACCAGCCCATAGGGTTTACATGTTAAATGGCATGTTTTCGGCGAGCGATATCTCGGTCAACCTTTGAAGGAATCAATGGTTCTTAGTCTCAAATGATAGATCGATGAATTTTCTTTCGACAATTCCTCTACCATTTTTCACGAAACCCAGCCGATCTTCTACGGCGTACAGGGTAAAGATTTCTCTGCACGCCAGCACCCGCGATCCGCCTCTCCGATCGTCGGCGCGCGGTCCTCGGTAGCGCAGTCGGTAGCGTATCGGGCTACGGATCCGAGGGTCGTGAGTTCGAATCCTGGGAGCGCCGTATGATTTCGGCTAGAATTGAATGATGCAGAATCTTGAATGTTTGCGTAATCAATTATTAATGGCTAATTGAATGTGTCTGCGCACTAATCGGCCCCTAAAACCTGTTATTTAAGAAATTTAAGAAATGAATGTCACGTGCGCGTCACGACTGCCAACCATAAGCGCTACCATATTCTAGTTTGAACTAACTTTTTGCTAGTCCCGACCACATATAGTAGGTTTTCTAGTAGTTATACTAGAAATTCCTACCAAAGTTCGTCCTACCCTTCACTCAATATACCCTGGATGGTATAGTACGGGGCTAGGCTGGGAATGGGGCTGAGCTGGGCTGGGCTGGACTTGGGTGGGCTGGAAGAAAGACGAGCATTGAACTGAATGAACAGGTTCGAACCAGATGAGGGGCTGCAAGGGCCGGGCTGGGGGGGGGGGGAGGGAGAGGACAGCTAGTATCGCACTTCATTCTGGGATTGGAACTGTGAGCCCAGACTGGAGTGGGGCTGAGCCCGTAATGAAGAGAAGGAGCTTCGTCCGAACTAAGAGTCCGTGAAAAAGGGATAATACAAGTCCGTTATCTAGAGGGAAGGGCACATTTCTACTGGGAAGAGGATCCTTGCCGACGGTAAAGGGAGGAACCCAGCCCAGCCCAAACTGAAGCTTGACCGAGCAGAGACTGCGAACTGATTACCTGTTTGCTAACTAAATGACCCTGTCTGCCCGTCCGCCAGGATTATGCAGATCCACAGCCGTAAGATGAACGTGTCTCCGGATGTCAACTTTGACGAGCTGTCCCGGTCCACGGACGACTTCAACGGCGCCCAGTGCAAGGCCGTCTGCGTCGAGGCGGTGAGTGGCTTCACTATACGTCTGAAACCGTCTGGCCAGCCCATGTAACAATGGAATGCCTCCCGGTGACTTTAGTCAGTGTTTGGTTGAGCAGCATTTCTAAGAAATTGGATAAGTTAATATATTGGAACGGGATTGTCAGTCTGTCATGCTTTAATAATTTAATCCTTAGCAAATTTTACAGTAATCGTAGGCTGCCTTGCTTCACATTTCTTTTTATACGTTTAACTTTTTTCTGACAGCCATGACGCCTGTGCATCTAATGATACTGACCAAATGAGCTAACGTAACTGTAATGGTTCTCGCTGGATGATGCTGTATCGGTCAGTATGTTCCACAGTCGTACCTCTTGGCCTGTCTTACGCAGGCCCGCACAGGATGTTTTCCGTTCGAGCTGACCCCGGTCCAAACTGTTTCCGCAGGGTATGATCGCTCTCCGTCGGGAGGCCACTACCGTAACACACGAGGACTTCATGGACGCCATCATGGAGGTCCAGGCCAAGAAGAAAACCAATCTCAACTACTACGCCTAGGGGCCGATCCACCACACACACAACTAAATATACCCTACACGCCGTGATTGGTGCGTGAAGCTCGCGAAAGCACCGACTACGACTCTAAAGAGCTAGTGGATAATTTATTTTATCTCGGTGTACGGCTCGCGTCCTTCTGCGTCCGCTGCGTATGGGAGACGCGCCCGGCTTCATGTGTGAAATGTCGCCACCAACATGTCCCATTGTTGAATACATGGCACACCGTATAATTTGATAGTGTTCAGTGCGGTTCATTCGCTTCGTCCGACAGCCGCTGTCGTCGCTCTACGAGGCCATTAGCCGCGTTTGGGCTGTTCCGTATTCTCGGCACACGCTTTGTTACCCGATTGGACGGCTGCAGTTGGGTTCGATTGAGCTGTTTTGGCGTGGAAGCACCGGTTCAATAGACTCGCAGATGTTTGCGCGGAGCAGCAGCTGTAGCAAACGAGGGGTGGTCGGTGGAGGTGTAGATGGCGCTGGTGTACATACGAGCTTCGGTTCGTGGTGGCCGCGATATGGCAGCCCGTGGTGCAAAGAAGCGCTGGAGGGCGGTACACTGGTGCATACGCTGGGCTCTTGAGGGCGATACGCTGGAGAAGCTGGCAGGCGTGCACTGAGTGTTCCATGTGTTCAACTGTGCAGGTTAACGTTAAATAGGCTTACGACTTTCGCAAATAACGTCAGAATGGGAATGTGCTTTCTGGGACATAATGAAAAGTGATGATTTGTTGATGCGATGAAATCGGCAACAAACACTACTCGTTGGTTGGTCTTCGTAGATATCTCCGACTTCGAACAAAGAACGCTACAATTTGAAAAGTAGAAGGCTATTCGCATGAATCGTGCTATAGTTTAAGACAGTAGTTACGTCATTTGTCGCATTTGATGCAGCTTATCGTGACTGGTAACCGTATGTGACAGACTATGCGAGACCTGCTGTGTCAAACGTGGCACTTTATAGGATTACTACAGCCAGCCATTGACTGACGTTGCTGTTCCCAAATGTTGCGCTCGGCAAGCTGGAGGCTATCCCACCACTCACCCGTCTTATGGCATCATTTCCGGTTGCGTCAACCATTCGTAGTGGGCTTTATTGAACTTCCATGCGAATCTTGTGTACACACTACAGTGATTCAAGTGACCCTGTATCAGCTAGCACAAGCCCGGGAAACGCGTTTTCCTCGCCAGCGGTTTGTAGGCGATTATCGGCACCCGGTTGATCATATCAACTTGACTGGTCGATAAACCACTGAACTTCCGTGTCTGCCGCGTTATCGGCCTTTGTCTTCGAGGCCATATCGTGAGCGACGATGTTTATCGACAAAACACCCTTCCTGTCACCGTCCCCGTCCCACCGAGAGCCACAGTGGCATCACGCCCAGATTAGTACTTGAACTCCTGGAATCGGTTAGTTTAAATAACAATCGTGCAGGCTGCAAATCACTGTCTGACGCTTGAGGGCGGCTAATTTTGAAATGAGCCCGCTATCGATAATCTGAAGCCTTTGAGACGATGACATCAATAACGGTTGTCGATCACTCGTAAACTGATTAGCTGAATATCGATGTGCCTAAGGCTGGCGGCGTTTCTTTGCAAGCTCAGCGAAGTGTTTGCAATAAAGGGGCTTAGACGTGGCCATCTAATCTTTATTGACAGGAGTGCTGATGTGATGGGTCCTTATCAATAGCTTGCCTCCAATTTGCCAATGGACCAGCATGAAGTTTTAAGATGGATCAACATTCAACCGTCAAAATAGTCCATTGCCTTCCTCGGGCTGGCGCTGCGTACCTACACGATTACATACATGCTGTGGGTGTACCTTTTAGCGCCTCACTCTCTTGTTTGACACTCATTGGTCATCATCGTATATCGTACGTACCTACACGGTACAAAAGTCATTAGTATTACCTCAACTACGAAACTGGCATGGAATTCGGTACGGATAACTATGTCTAATGTCTAAAGACGAATCTTTTAGGTGACGCAAGCCTGCTGAACGCAAGCACATTATCTGGCTGAGAGCAAGTGTCGCTACGTGCCTTCAAACTATCATTTACAGGTAGGTAGGATCTTTGCTCGATCACTTTTATTCACACTCTTCCAAATTTCTGTCGAGTAGAGCCGATGTCCATTGCCCATGCCCCCTCCCTCCCAAGAAGGCCCTATAAATCATCCCTTCATCAGCCATCGGTATGTAGGTACCGTATTCATGTGCCGGACCTGGCGGACCTCCAGCCAGCGCGCAGCGTCCCGCGGCAGCGGCTCGTCGGTGCGCCAGTTTCTACTACGGTAGGGGAAATACCCTACCAGTTTCCACTACCAGCATCACCTGCGATATGGCAGCTCTCAGACAGTTGCCGGTGAACCGCGGAAAGGGGAGGGTGCACGCGTGGCCGGCGAGGAAGATTATCGTGTTCGTATCGTATTTGTGCAAATTGAGCGTATTACGTGCTACCTTTGATTGTATAGAACTGAGCACAGGCGTTTAGAGGTCTGTGGATCATCTGTTAAATCTGACTAAGGTAAGAAGGACGGCGCATGCGATGCGATCGTTAGGTATAGGTATACGCATTTTACCGATTATGCCAATGATACAAAAATAACGCGTTAATATTTGATGATAACCTCTTTCATTCGATTTCTTCAGTGATATTAGTTTTATGATGTCAGCATATGCTGGGTCACCGTGCATGGGACCACATCGACAGCGATAGTCGATAGTCGTATTTCTATGTTAATTAAGCGCCATTTTTATATCCTCACCAGGTAAATGATTATACTTTGTTTAGTTTCGGGCTATGCTTAGGTGAAAAATGTGTCGTTTTTCACCTTAGTGTAGCCCCACGGTGACTATTGTAGCCCGACCGAAACTAAAACGATCTGTCGCACTTGATGGTCACTTATTTCAAGGATGAACTGGGCATAAGCTGTTTGGGAAATAGATAAACCCACTTTTAAGTTACACCTACATGCTTACAAACATCGTTAAATCTAACCATGTGATATCACAAAGAGCGGTAGATAGTACCTAGATACCTATTACCTTACCTATACATCACCTCACCTCATTGATCTCGTGATCAATGATCATCATGTGTCGTGTCCAAGTCGTGTCTACCTAGGTACTAACCTACCTGGATACTGGAGCCAATTTTATGACGTTCCGGTTTAGCATGACACACCTAACTATCGGTTTACCTAACCACCTAACTGACTGACTATTGTACGTACCTAACCAACCACTTTACTAACTGGCAGCTGGCTGTATTGTTACTTAACCATTCACCTGACTATCGCATTACCTGATAGTTATGGTTATCGAACTACATGAACGGGCAGGTAGGTATAACCCAATGATGTCTTTTGCGCATCGATTTCATGCTTGCTCCCTGACCATATTCTGTTCGTGAACTTATTTGAGGTTTGTCGTCAAACATATTTTGCAAGTTGATGTGCCCATTATCCTTGTTCGTTGAATGCGATAGGTAAACTCGGTTAGTTTATGAAGGGTCATTGTCATTTCACTGCAGAAGGGATTTCCCAGATGACACTCGGGCCATCATCAACTATTCTCATCTCATCTCGTAAAATCCTTGCTTATATAGACATTTCATTTCAATATACTGCAGCAGCAAATGCGATGTCATTAGTGGGTAATGCGCTGGCTGGCGTGCCACCCGGCTGCATGACAATGAGGTCCTGCACGGCGCCCCTGCAGGCCGGCCGGCCGGTCGGCGGGCCAGGCGGGCCATATGCGGGCTCACGGCCACCAGAGTCGAGCTGGGACAGGCCAGGGCCGGCGCGAGTTCATGGTCTCCCCGAGCTAGGAGCCGAGACACGAGGGATATCTTCTGAGGGAGATGGAGCCTTGCATCATCTTATCGCCATCGCCCACCCAACCGACGACCCGACCGACGACCTTATTTGCTCAGCGGAACGTCGGCGCCGGCAGCCGACGACGGCTCGAAGTAACGCAGTTCAACGTCGCTGAAGGGTCCCCGGAGGGCCGATTGGACTGGCGAGCAGCTGTTGACTCTCAAAACAGGTGTCGGCGCCTGCGTGGGGAACGGTGTATCATGATGACCTTGATCGTAAGTTTATGAGCGACGGGTCTGATCGTTTGATCGGGCCCGGCGATGGCAAAACATGACATGTGAAATGTCTTGACATGCCTTGCATTTGCAATCGAGCGGCTGTCTGTCAAACTAGGTGAAAAATTATCGCTGGTCTGCGCCGGGAGGTCGAGTAGCAGTATTGCTGACTTTTCCTCGACCGCACCCCGGTGTTATTTTCACTTTCTGCAACCGATACAGAAGTCGCGGTGGGAAGGAGCAAAGCGTCTCTGCCGCTGACGTGCTGCAGCGGAGGGATTTGACGGACATTCTGCGGTTGCGGAACACTGCGCTGCTGAGGAGCGTAACGACTCTTGGTCATTACACCATGACGGATGAAGTGATAGTGAATATTTCTCGTTCCCGCACACCAGTCTAGCCACAATGAATGGGGTTACACCTGCAGAGGAAGCTTGTCATTTCTCTGGTACGACAACGACGTCATGGCTGCGACATGGCGACCGCAGCCGACCGCTGCTGACGAATGACCTCCCTCGACAAATGACCACTCAGTATTGATGTAGCGACCGCGCACTGACGTGATGGCCCGTAACCTGACCCCGTGCCCTGTGCCCGTTTGCAGCCTGTGGCGGCAGCCAGCCTGGGGACATGCGGTGACGTTGCGATGACGTCCCACCAGGAGCCGGGCGGCGGCGGGTGGGTGGCCGCCGGCCCGCCGCCGCCGCCGCCGCCCCCGCCGCCCACGGCCGCCAACATCCAGTACTGGAAGCAGCAGCAGCAGCAGCAGCAGCAGCAGCAGCAGCAGCAGCAGCAGCTGTGGTACGAGCCGCCGGCGCCCGAACTGGCCGCCAGTCCGCCGGATGCGGCCAACTTTGTGACCACCGTGACGGTAGCCGGGTGGCCGGGCGGAGCCGGCACGCCCGGATCGCCGCGCTGTGAGTCGGCTCGCTCGGACGCTGCCGAGTCGTCGTGCAGCTCGCTGAGCCAGGAGAGCCTGTCTCCGCCGGCGCGCGCTGCGCCTCCGCCCACCGAGCTGGCTGCTGTCCGCTCCGTGACGGCGCCGGCCCGCTGGAACCGAGTCACACGCAACGGCCTGGTGGTCTACGTCAGGTGAGTGCCGACGACCGCGGCTCCAGGTCGGTCGGGGACTGGGGAGGGCCTGTGGGGGCTGTCTGGATGTGTGGGGAATGTATGTGACCCGGCTTATGCCAATGCGAACAGTGTGACTGCAGAAAGCGAGCGATGGTATCGGCTTAAGCGGATGTCTTCAGGGTTGTGGAACACAACTATGAACAACTTCTTTCGAGCTGCGAGATTGTTTGTCTTCTATCTATCTGCTTGATACAGCCGTATTTTACTACGAGTTACGACCCTATCAAGTCGTAGTTTACGTAGCTTACTTGATATGAGATGCAGAAGAAAGCTACTGGCGCTCGAAGACATGCAAAGAAGCAGTCGAGTAAGCTGCTGTTGCGAATTGTGCACATGACTCAAAAACCGACGGAGCTGGTTGTGCTTTGTATGATCGTGATAGCGCCTAGCAACCCTGGCGAAGGGTGACCCATATGAGTCATTGATGGAATCCAGATTTCGCCCAGACTTAACTTTTCTCTTGTCTGCTTTTTCTGGGACATAACACGGCTAGATCCAGCCCAGGCACGCTAGATCATGACGCAAGCGACCGTGTCTGAGCTCGGGGCGTCTTTTCTCTGTTATCTTTGACTGTCAATCGGCGTTGGAGTGGTGCGCGGAGGTCCGGTGAGGGGTGCAGCGGGTGCAGCGGCCGGCGGTCGCTTTCGTACCCGCGCCGTCTCGGCGGACGGTCGGTCGGCAGGAGGTGGCGGCCGACCTTGCTCTGCACCTGCAGCGGCCAGCTCGGTCCCTGCAGACGGTCGGCCGCACCGGCAGCGTGCATAAATCGGCGCGCCGCCGCTGGACCCGGCGACCGGTGCCCCCGGCACGCCGTGACGTCACGTGCCGGTACCGTGACGACCGACCGTCACGGCGCGACGAGCGCGCTTCCCCGGAGCGGCCGGCCGGCTCTGCGAACGGTCTCATAATGCGCCGGTGACGCGGCGCAGTAAAGTCGACTCATCGCCGGCCCGACCGACAGCGCGGCGGCCGGCCCCGCCCGGTGGCCATGGCTGAGGCAATTAGGGGGCGCGCCGCCCCCCGTGGGACGGCTGCACGGCGCAGTCGCGGGCCGGCCGAGCGGGGGCACCGGCCGGTCCACGGTCAGCGAGCACCACGGGCGCGGCCCGGACAGCGCCGTGCTGGTACACGACTACGCCGAATTGTGATGAGATAGTTCGCAGAAGCTGCTGACGCCACGCGGTAGGCACTCGTCGCCTCTCGGGGTGCGCTGCGGCGCGGAGGCCCGCGGAGGCCGGCTGGGGGCCGTGTCAGCGGCTGGTCGGCCCTCAGTTCCAGCGATCCGGTGATGGAGCCCGTGTGTCTCGGAAAGGCGGCCCCTCGCTCACGCGGAGTGTGTGGGCAGCGCCCACACAGCTCGGCTTCCCCACAGCTGGGCCTCAGCTGGGCGACGCCCTGCCCCGTGTCACCTGAGTTGGGCCCCTCCCTGCGCAGCATCATCACAGCTGCACTCTCGGTAACTGTCACTCAAAGTGACACAGACAGAGACTCAGAGAATGACTCAGAGTGACGCCGTCACCGTCACTGACAACACGAACCGCCGCACGGGCGCTCAGCCGGCCGACTCAGGTGCGCGCAGCCAACGGCCCGCTCGAGTCAGACGTCGCGTGGGCGCGCGTGTCTGTGGCAGCTCAGCCCCGGATGGCACTTGTCGCACTGTCGGCTGCGTGTCGCGCTACCTCGCCTCGATTCGCCTCGATTCGCCCGACCGCGACCACGTAACCGGCGCGGCGGCCGCCGCACTGATACCATCAGCTGTCCGCCGCCTCAAGCCCGCTCGGGGAAAGTGGCCGCCGCTGCTGGCGAGCGACAGCCGACAACTCCGGTGGCGGCGGGCCACTGCAGGAGCCGTTTTCCCGGCCGGCTGCCGGTGTTTTTCGGCCACCGGTGGCGCTGACGTCATATCAGGCGGAAACTTCTCTCGCCAAGTTGGCTGCCGCGCCGCGCCGAACGGTGTGCTGCGATGTTTTGTGGTGAGTCGTCGGTCTGACAATGCGGGTGCTCTTCTGAATTTCCAACCGGGCCGACCGACTCTTGAAGCTCTCCTGACGACTTCTGCCCTCCCCATCCGCGGGATTGCCCAAGTCGCCCGACTTTTAACTTCTAAGGTAGTCTGACTTCCCGTGTCGCCCACCTTATCAGTCCTCGGACCGCCTGACTCCCATTCTCCGTACCCCAGCTCTCCACAGCCTTGACCTCTAAGACCTATCTCTTCTATCCCCAGCCTCAGCCCCTCAGGTTACCCTCCTCCGACCTCTCTAACTATCAACGACTCGCCCGGCCACTATATCGTCGTCGCCGGCAGTTGTGTCGAGCCGGACGGCTGTTTTTCGCCGTTGTTGACTGCGCGGTGGCGCGGCGTCGGCCCGCTGCGGCTGTGGCATTGATCGCCGCCGACCAGGTCACTGGAGCGTCCGGACGGACGGACCGGCGCGCTGGGCGGGCCGTGCTGGGCCGTGCTGGGACGTGGTGGGCCGTGGTGAGGGACCAAATGGACAGTGCACTGGGTACCTAACTGTGCGGGATAAGTCCGTCAGGTGGCTGGAATTTACCAATGACGTGAAATTTGAGGAGCTATAAATTTTATAGAATGCCGCTGATTGATGACGTGTATGTGTAAGTTAATTTAAAGGTTCACTTGATGTTAAACTAATTATATGCGCAATATTAACGTGGATAAACAAGCTCTTGTCGCCTGATCAGACCCTATTGTCAGTTAGCGATGGCCACCACGCTGCCGGGTGCCCTTTGAGTGTTATTGAAGCCGCCGTAGGCTCGGACAGGAATCTGGCGGCGCCGACGCGTCACGGCTGACCTTTATCGTGACCTATTGACGCCGGTCCCGGGGAGAGTCCGGGCTTCTCCGGACCATCTCCGGACGACCAGGCCACTGCAAGTCGGATGGGCGCGTCAGAGGGGTCCGTCGCTGAGCTGAAGTGCCATGGGTTTGGCTGGGCGGACGTCCTAGGCTCGCTAGCTGCCGCGACTGCCGCTGTCACTCTGGTAAATGAGGCGATTATGTTGAGCAGGAGTGGCGCCGGTCAGCGGAGATGGACCGAGGGCGGTGTCCGGAACTTAGAGCCGGAGCCGGAACTGTCCGAGACTGTCAGGAACTGTCTGAAATCAGGCAGTTATCTAGCGCCCGGCTGGGTCAGACTGAGTTACCACCCAGCTAGAATATTTACAGAGTGAATCGAACACTGACTAACTGTCCAAATGTTCCGCGCTGCTCGTTGGAATCATTGATGACGAAAGTAGCCATTTACGACTGAAATTAGCGAGAAGACGGTGATCTCGTTGGCCTCTCTGGCTCGGGTCCATGGCCAGACGAAAACTAAACTAACTGAGATGGGCCTGTCTGGCGACTGAGAGGCAGATTATGGCCCGTCTGGGCTCAGCTAATTAGCTGTCTAACTGGATGGCTATCAGGTCGACGAACTATGTGGTAGTTTTCGCCGCGATAAAAGCTCTTAGATGTCTGGCGCACCGTTCACGCGCTGTGTCTATATATACTCAGCGATAACGTTTGTGACTGGCTCAGACCTGCAGCTATAAACGTAGACGTTAGTCAGCGGCTTGATTGACACGATGATACAACAGCTTTTCGCGGTCGGCTCCGGCGGCAGAATGTTGTCAGATGGTGAGACGGTGCGTGTCGAGTGTTTACGGACCGGCACGCCGGCACACCGGGCAGGTTTACGGCCAGTTTGGCGAGTTTTCCGCCGGCGGTAAGTGCGGCTTTAGTGGCGTAGTTTGCTCGTGTGCGTGCGTGCCGTCATTCGTGTGGTCTGGCAAGGTCGGCCTCCATCTGGGTGAAGGTCGCGACGGCGCTAGTTATCGTCACGGTGCCACTTGGCACTTACTCGTATCAGCAAGGTCGTTAGTCAATAATGGCTTCACTCTGAGACCGCAGGTAAAAACGCGACGCAAAACACCTGTCGAGTCGCGCGCAGACATCGTCATTCATCCCAGCGGTGACGGGTTGAATCATGTCAGGCGTCCAGTGGGCCGTGCCTATCGGCTCGCTCGTCCAACGGACATGGTCGAGCCCTGTTTATGTAAACGCTAAACATGCTCTCAAGGTAAACACCGCCCAGCGGGGCGAGCCAACTGCCTGGAATCGGCCGCGGCGTGATGATCGTCTTCATCATCATCAGAGACTGATGACAGAGACAGAGACGGAGACGGAGACAGAGACAGAGTCGGAGACGGAGGCGGCACATTCAATCCACAGAACACACCCCTTACGGCCCTGGCCAGCTCGTTTCCGGGAACTGGTCTCAACACCGGCGGGCATGAGTCTGATTGTCAGGTTCCATTAGCGAAGCGGTCTCTCGGCGCCGGCTGATGTGGTCCCGGCGACGGTCATCGGGCCGCTGATGAGTCGCTGTCGGTGTGCCGGAGACGGCCGGAGCTGGGTAGGGGTATGGTGGAGGAGGCAGGCGGTGCCACGGACCCCGCTGTCGTTAGGGACACCTCATCTAGACAGCCGGCGAGACGCGACGGACCATCGGCCGTCGATGGATCGTTGGAGTGATGACGCCGGTGGCGCTGATGACGCGGTTGATGACGCTGCCAGTGATGACGCCGCTGATGACGCCGCTGACGACTCGGTGGGTGGCACCCTCGCCGGTGATGACGCCGTCGCCCGGAAGTGTCGTCAGCCGTGCGGCGGGCTGCGGTCGGCGGCCGCCGGTGGCCCGGCCGTAATTGGACGCGTCACCGGCCGATATTGTACCGACGCGGTCTGTCGATCGCGCCGCCAGCCATCATCGCCGCCACACGGAGCCGTTATTGGTTTCCGCTGCCGCCGGCCGCCCCCGCCCACCGGCCACCGCCCACTATCCACCGTCCACCGCCCGCCGTCGGCCGCCCGCGTGGGCCGTCAGTAACGGGTAGGGAGTGAGTTCCTGACGATTTGCTGATGGTTCGCCGATAGATTGGCGATGTCTGATGAC